GGCAAATAATTCACTAGCTGGTCCCCAAATCTGTTTGTTTCCCATAGGGGCACAGTAATGCTGAAACTCCCAGCCTTCCTTAGAGCTAGTTTGGGCACCGTGGCTGAGCAGAGTACTGGAATGTGGGCAGGAGCGTTCAGCACCTCTCCCAGGCCCGGCCCATAAATACCTCCCTTTGTGACGCCATGCTGGGTGCCCTTCCACCACAACTCAGGAAGTCACCTATTCAAGATGGTGCAGCTACAGATGGGAGGAGACCAGGCCCTGAGTCCTGACTACCCACCAATCAGGGGCACTCGTTTATAACCTACGTGAATGAGAAATGCATTTCTCTGTCAAATCATGGATACTGTGGGCCTTGTCTATTACAGCAACTAGTGCTGCCTTGAGATCTTCGGGGAATCTGAACATACTTGTGCTTCTGTGGGTCTGAGCAAATGTGTCTGTGCCTTGTGAAATCAAGTGTGTGCTTCTGAGGCCCTGTTCCTTTTGAAGGACAATAGCACAGGAAAATTTCTCATCCGAGTAAGGGCACTGAATCTTGCTCAAGGGTCAGATTTAGGGTTTGGCAATACCTTGGGAGGAATGTGCACACAGGGTAGGCACACAGGGCTGCTTCTGTGGGTCTAAGCACGTGTGGACCTGGGTGAATCTGAGTACACGCGTCCGTGTGTGTGCCCTTGTGGGTCTGAACCGTCATGTGTGAACCGTCGTGTGCACTCACCTGAGGGGAACATACAGGTGTACTGGGTCTGAATGTATCCCTACAGGTCTGGGGATATATGTGTGCACTTCTGTGTGTCCACACCTGTGTGGGCCAATGTAGGTGTGAGTGCACATGTGTGTGTACCTCTGTGGCAGGTCTGAGCACATAAACCTGCACTTCTGTCAGTCTGCATGTACACATCTTTCTGAGCACATATGGATGTGCACATCACTGTGGGACTGAGCACACATATGCATGCCTCAAGGGGTCTGAGCACATAAGTGTGCATGAATGCATGAGTCTGTGCAGGCGTGAGCTTGGTGGGCTGTGGAGGGTCTCCTCTCACGGAAGCAGGGTAGGAGGGCACAGGTCTGTGAGGCTGAGCAAAGTATGTGTGCATGGATCTCTGGGGCTGGGACACAGCCTACCTCTGAGAATGTGCACTCCTGTACACATTCTGTACATTCTGTACTCCTGTACCTTTTTTTTTTTTTTTTTTTTTTTGCAGCTGAAGTGAGACTTTAATGATGGTTTTGCAAGATCCGATGTCTGGTCACTCCTGTACCTTTGTGTGCATGTGGGGACGCCTCCGTGAGGCGGACTACACATGGTGGTGCATGAGTACATCTTTCTGCAGAAGTGTACATTATGGTGAGTATATTTGGATGGGGCTGCAACACACATGTGCCTCTGTGAGCCTGGCCCCAGATATGCCCTTCTGTGAGTATGTGATGCCCACAGCAGTGAGTCTCAGCACACTGCGAACATGCCTGATCTGAACATGCATACAGGTCTCTGTAAGTTCCGAAACATGTGAGCATCTGTAAGTCTGAATTTGACGTGGGATTCTGTGATCTGAGCACTTGTGTGTGCGTGACACAGGTGGATTCACACTTACACGTCTGTGCCTCTGTGAGCTGAGCACGAGTAATTCCATGAGTCTGAGGACACGTCACAAGGCATGTGCCCCACTGAGTCACATAGAGCACACACAGGCTCGGGTGTGCTCTGGGTCTGAGTGTGCACATGTGCACAGTCAGGTCTGAACACACATGCATACACCCCAAATGCCTGCAATATGCAGATGTGTCTACGGGTCTGAGCATGTAAGGGTAGTTCTGAACATCTGGCATGTGTGCCAACAGATGTGATAGAGTGTATGCCTCAGGGGTCCTGAGTACACATGTGGGCACAGCTCAGAGCACATGCATGTGCCTTGGTGAGTTTGAGACACACAGTGTCTGAGTGTGGGACTGAGCACGCGTGTTAGTGTGAACTGCAGGTGCACACCTGTGAGTGAGTCTAAGCACTGCTGTGGGTATTATTGGAGCTCTAAGCACACAAGTGGGACTCAGTGACTCTGAGTACATGTGTATGCCTTTGTGAGATTGTGCACAAGTCTGTGCTTTGGGGGTCTCAACAGGTGTGTATCTGTTTGTGGTCTCCTGGGGCATACATGCTTCTTGGGGCCTAAGTGTGTGTGCCTCTGTTGGTCTGGGCATGAATGGTGTGTGCTCTTCTGGGTTTGAACAAAGGGGTGTATGTGCGTGTGTGTGAGAAAATGGGCCCGTGTGAGCTTGCCGGTGGGTCTGTAAATGTGTGTGCAGGGATATTTGTGTGCACGCCTCTTGTCATGCACGTGCACACAGATGTCGCCTCTGTGGGTCCGAGCCTGTGTGTGCTCTGTGGGACCCAGGGTGTGCAACGCCAGAGTCCCTCAGGGGACAGACTGGAACACAATGGTGGGTCAGGCCAGCTGAGACAACGAGGAGTGGAGGGTCCCACTGCGGCCAACTGTGTGGTGATCCCAGGCCCCTCACCTGGACCCAGGGAAGTGGATCTGGAAGGCAGGAGGGGAGAGAGCCCCTGGGTCGGGCCCCGGGCAGCCAATCTCTCCAGCCAGGCACCCCACTTCTGACCTAGGAGTCAAAGGAGGCCTGGTCTTCAGCTAGAGAAAAGCCTCCTTGCACTGGAGGCCCGGAAGAGGCTCCGGCTGGAAAGGTCCTGGGGGGACATGGCACGGTCTACACCAGCCGGGAAGACCCCGGAGGCATCTCGGTTCTTGCCTGTCCTCCCACCAGATCCAACGTTAAGCCTTTCAGAGCGGTACACGCGGACGTGGAAACATGTGTGATGCAGAGCTGGGGAGAACCTGTGGCTTCCGGCAGTTTCCTCTGGGTGCTCCCGCGTGCACTCTGCCCTCCCTCCCGCCTTATTCTTACACCTGGGTGCTGGGCTGGCCACCAGGCCCTCCCTGTTCCCAGCATCCAGTCCTCCTCCACCCTCCACCCTTCCTTCGTGTCCTTGGCCCTCTTCCTAGGAGCCTGGCTCAGTGGTTGGCGAGCTCCCAAGCCCTGGCTGCAGACGCAGCTGACTCGCCTGCTCCCACTCCTCATCACCCTGTCCGAACGCAGACGAGAGCTGCAGACCACCAGTGCACACACTCGGCATCACACTCGGACCCTGACTGGACTCAGCCAGGGCTGGGAGGCTAGAGCCTAGGTGGACAGAGTGTGGCTCTGTGAGGTCCAGTGTGCGCTGCATGTCCCTGTGTGGTGGCCATCTGGTCCCTCTGCAGGGTGTAGGGAGAGCAGTCTCCTCCTGTCACCCAGGAGTTCCTGTCCTGGAGTGTGTGAACATGGACACGTGTGCAAACACATGATACGGTCACTCAGTGCCCTTTTCTCATGATCTTTGTCCCCAGAGCCCTATCCCAGGGCTCTCACAGGGTTATCCATCAACTACTCCAGCAGGCCCCAGCTGGCAGTGCTGTGTCGGCCACAGGAGCTCCCAGGAAGTGCCTGGTGCTATGCGTTGAAGCAGCCAGATGTCCAGAACCCCCAAAGGAATGGAGGATTGGAGAGTGCAGCCCTGAGCCGAGATCGCCCCATGATTTGGAAGGATTGCTCCCAGAGTAGAGGCATCTGCCCCAGAAAGCACAGACCCTGGGCTATGGAGGGAGAGGCCTTTCTGGCTCCCCTAGTGCTCCTGGGCCCAGGCCCGTGGGAACGACCCCTCTCAGCTCTGGCCTACTAGGGGGACGTAGAGGGTAATCAGGCTCCAGCCTCGGGGCCTGAGGGCCTGTACCCAGAAATCCCTCTGCACTTGGTCTTTGAACCTGAGCCTCTGCCCCGAGGATCCACGGGTCCACGCTTAGGTTCTGCTCCCTTCCTACTCCTCCCACACGCCTTCCAAGATCACAGTCCACCCTCAACTCCCTCCTGGAGCTGGGAGGCCCCCTGGGTCAGAGTGCCAGGATGTGCCCAGGGCACACCGCCCACCTCCTGACCGCCTCCCCTCCCCCACTCGCAGGCACCTGTCCTTCTGGCACCAACAGCCCAGGTGCCACCCACCCACGGCAAGGTACCGGGCGAAGTCTCCAGGAGCCCAGGCGAGAGGTGTGGGCGGCCCTTCCCTCCCACAGGCTCATCTGGCCACCACCAAGGCCCACACGCCCCTGCTGCGAAATCTGGCCACATCTAGTCCCCTCTCCATCTGCTGCCAACCTCGAGCGCCCCACCCTCCCCCAACTGCTCTCGGCCACCCCCAACCTGCTCAGATAAGCAGCCCTGGCACCCACCGCGCCACTCTGCACCCGCACTTCTCAGGCAGCACTCAAGGCCCACCCACACTTTGCAAGTCTGTCTCTCTCTGGCTGTACCCTGGTCCTGCAGGAGGCATCAAACAGAGGCCTGCAAAGGCCCCTCGCAGAGCCCCAGTCCCCAGGAATCCTACCCTCCCAGCCCCACTTCTCCACCAGAACCGGGCCAGAACTCAGGCCCGTCTCCCCGGGGACCCCATGCCTGGCAGGGGGGCACCTCCCACCCAGCACACTGCTGGGCACAGAGCAGTCACTGTGCAGCAGTTGTCCGCCCTGGCCTGCCAGTGTCCGCCCTGGCAACCCCTTAGACTGGAGTACTGGATACCTCCCTGAGACGGGATGAAGAGGGCCTGGGATCCAGCAGAGGCTTTCTCCACTCTTGACCAAGCAAGCGCCAGGCCTCAAGGGCAGATGGGAATTGCAGTTCTGGACCCAAGAGCTGATGGGAGTTGTAGTTCCTAGGCCTGCGCTCCCCACCCCACCCCCACCCCGAGGGCGCATGGGAGCTGCAGTTGCTCGTCTTCCCAAGGAAAAGTGTTCCTTCTCTCTCCCCGCACCCCTGGGCTCTCAACCCCAGGACCCAGGCTAAGGACCTCACTACCTCTGGAGGATGGGGAGCCAAAGGCACCTTGCCACAGGACATCTGAGGGGCAGGAGCTGATGGGAATTGGGCGGGGGAGCTATCAGGGCAAGCTAAGGCCTGGCAGCAGGCCCGAGGGCTTGGACCAGGTAGCAGGGACAGTCGCCCCCCTCCCCAGCGTCGTGGAGGGCCCCGGGGCAGGGGAGGGGGGAAAGGCACTCACCAGTACTGGGCTCACACTCCTCCAGGTCCTCATCATCACTCGGACACTCGGCCGAGGCCACCAGGAGGTCATCTGTGTTCTGGGGGACAACGGGAGGGGTGGGGAAAGAGAGGGGTCCGGGCAGGTCAGCAGACCCCACAGTCGTCTCTTGAGGCACGAGACGGCACAGGGGATGGGCCTGTGCTGAGACAGACAACCCAGTCCAGGTCCCAGCTCCCCCATCACTTGCTGGGTGACCTTGGACCTCCACTTCCTCCTATGCGAAGGGACAACCCTGCAGGCTCCCACGGCTTCCGAGAATCAATGGAACAGCACGTTTTGCTTTTTATTTCTGGGAAGTGGGGAGACTGGATGCCAGACCCTGGCCTGCAGGGCCGGAGCAAGGGGGCCCAGGATGCTTGGGGCAGGGGTGGTGTGGAGGCCTTAAAGCCTCCGGAGGCCAGCAGGGGCGGAGAGGGGACAGGACCCTGAGGGCTTTCCTGGCTCCAGCTTCACCACCCATCACCCTCATCTCTCTCCCAACCCCCTTTCCTGGAGCCTGGGAGAACCGGGCTGCACACAATAATTAGGGCTGAGGCTGCCATGACAACGGGAGTCGACTTTGTCAGCATTTTCTCTCCTGATTGCAAAGAAAGAGAATCCCCCAGACGTGTGAGTGTAAGAGGGAGGGGCCACCAGGAGTTTGAGGGAAGGACCCAAGGAGGAAAGCTGAAAGTCCCGCCAGAAGGGAGCCTGAGAGACTGGGGCGGGGCGGAGAGGGCCAGCCTGAAGGCCAAGGATGGGGTGGGGCGAAGGGGCCACACACTGCCTCCTCTCCAGTCCTCCGTCTTCAGACGATGGCCCTCCCCCAGGAGCAATGCGGAGTCTGGAGGGCCCATCTCCCCTCTGCATTCCCGCACCCTTGGCACCAGCCTTCATTGTGGGGGCTTCTCCACAACAGCCGTGACCCCTGGGGCCCCCACCTCTCCCTCTTCCACCCTCCCGCTGATCTGCCCATCACCCCCCCACTGAGACCGGACAGCCTTTCCTACCTATGATTTGGAGGGCACTGGGCATGGCGGATGCCCAGCCTTGGTGGAGCCCAGGCCTTTCTTTCTCCCAGGACTTCCTGCTCCCTAGGGGCAAAGCCTTCAGATCCCCTCAGTTTTCTTGGCAGAGAGAAAGGGGGTACAGGCTTGTCTCTCTCACCTGGATGACCCAGGCTAGCCTAGACCAGGCTCCTACAGCAGACTGGCAGGGAGGAGGGGCCTTGCAGCACCTGGGAGCCCACCCCTCAGTGAAAGGGAGAAGCTGAAGACAGACTGGTGGTGGAGACAAGGGCACATTCCCATGCCACCCCCAGATCCCACCCTCGTCCTAGGAGGCCAAAGGGCCCTCCAGGCCAAAGGCCCAACAGCCAAAGGCATTGAGACAGGGCCATGGGACAGAATGGGTAAACAGGGCCCACGAGCCAGGCACAGCCTCCCTGAGCCAGCATTCAGAGCAGGCATGGGTGACCACAGCGAGGAAACTCGGCCCAATCCCGGGCTGCCTCAGAAAGTCACCAATGCTCAGTCAACTTTGGCTGCCAGGACAGTCAGGCCCGTCCTGCCCCAGCAGAGCCACAAGCCCAGGAGCAGCCCCTTTGACCTGACCCAGGAAGTCCCTGAGCACCAGGAAACTGCCTGCACTGACATCGCCCTCAGAACCAGACACAGAGGACATCCAGGCCCACTAAGCAGTAGTGTCTGTCCAAGGTCACATGGAGAAGACGGGAAGGCAATGGGCATGCAGCCAGGGCCTTCCCCACTGCAGAGGCCCCAGCGAACAAGGAGAGGCTGCTCCTGGCCCCCATCAGCCTCTGGAGAGGAACCGCCATCTCCAGTGACAAGTGACAGCATCCAGTCCCTCCAGTGTGGTCTCCCCTGCCCAGGGCAGGGCCACCCCGGGACCACTTACCTGCTACTTGCTCCCACATAGCAATAGCACAGGGCATGGCCCTCACGGGAGGAGCAGGAGAGATGGGGCCGTTCCACTCTCCCCTCCAGTCCAGACTCCCTCTCTTAGGCGGGGTGGTCTTCCCTGGTATAGCTTGGGCACTAGACTCCCCCTCGGCTCTAGGAATGGTCCCTCTAGACCACACCCACAATTGCCCCAGGCACCAGGTGAAGGCTGCTTCCTGGAAGGTGATCCTGCCTATCACCATGACAAAAGGTCAGAGAGAGTGACCCCCAGGGTCCCGCCAGACCCCATGGACCTGCCCCCCAGGCACCAGATAGCTAGGAAGACACTCGCCCTGGAACCCACCTGAAGGCCCGCCCTGTCCACCCACTGGAGGGAGCCTCACCTGGGTGGTGCTGTCCCTCAGCGTGGGGGAGCGACCCCGGCGCGTGGTGGTCGTGGCCATGGTGGTGGTGGTCTCCATGATGGTGGTGGCCATATCGGCCAGCAGGGTGGTGGCCGTGGTCTCTGCACTGAGCAGCACGGACGGCCCCTCCCCCACCAGGCGCAGGTGGCCCTCGGTTCGCACATTGGGGTCGCTCTCGGCGGCCAGCGCCAGCACCTTGAGCCCGTTGTAGTAGAGGCCAGACACCTGGCCCTGGAAGGGGCGGCCCTGATCCCGGCCCCCAATCTTGATGGCAGCCTGGCTGTTGAAGATGGTCAGCTGGCGGCCTGGGGGGAGGGGAGCGGGGTGACAGACAGAGGAGGGGCAGGCGGTGGGGAGATCAGGGAGGGATGGGAGAACAGAGGGAAGCCGGGGAGGAAAGAGGAATGGAGGAAGAGGCCAGCAGTGGGGGAGGGGAGCGGAGAAACGAGGAGGGGACAGACAACCAAAGGGAAAGTCCTGTCAGCCACAGCCTGGCCGGCCAGGTAGGGTCCCTAGCAGGAGAGGGTGCCTGGGCACACTCGGGCTGGGGAACGGGGCCCAGCCCTGCTCCCCACCATGCACATGCCTGCCCCACCTTCCCCAGCCCCCTCTCCTCTCCAAGGCCGTCGCCCCCTCCTTCCTCTTCCCCATTCAATCCGCCCTTCTTCCTCTGCTTCCCCAAACACCCTCGTCCCGGTGTCCAGCCCCAGTCATGGAGCCATGGAGCCCTCAGGAGTGGCCGACAGAGGAGACAGAGGCAGAGGCGAGAAGGCGGCTGCCAGGCCGAGGTGGAGTCAGCGCACGTGAGAGCGGAGAAGGAGGCGAGACGAGGGGCGACAGTGTGTGGGAGCGGGCTGGCCTCCCGCCCAGGCCCTCGGACCCCCGGCCAGGCTCCCCTCTCTCCTCCTCCCCTGCCAAGGCCCAGCCACTGCCGGGACAGGCCCCAGAGCAGAGCCCTCCTCCCCGCCTGGATGTGCAAGCCCAGAAGCAGAAAATGTTAAAGGGACCTTGCTTCGCTCGCTGACAGCCAAAAAACCGCTCCAGCTCCAATCTCACTCCGCACTCAGCATCAGTACACCTCAGAATTCCCACCTGGGTGGGGTTTGGCTGTTCTGTTTGCTTTTAGTGGATCTGGGGGTCGGTTTAACCCTCTGAGTTTGTTGTTTGGTTTTGGTTTTTAGAAAAGATATTTATTATGTTTAAGTTTAGATTTAACTTTGGTTTTGGTGCTGCTTATTTTGCGGGGGAGGGGTTGGGCAGAGGGCCTACGATGTCGCCCCCGCTCCCCCGGACCTTCAGCTGCTGGCGCTGGGGGGTTTAGACCTGGCTTAGCCCTTGTTAGCCTCTGGTTAGTGCCTCGTTAAAGATCTGGTTTAGAGTTAGGTGCCTGTGAACCCTGCCCCCAAAACCTGGGCTGAGGACAGTTCAACTTGTGAAGCCCACACCCCCTTGGCAACACGGGCTCTCAGGGACACTCAGACCTCTGGATCACAACGGGCCGCTGGTGTGTCTCCAGCCCTTCCCACCCCCCCCACCTCCC